ACTTTAAAAAGGTTTAGGTAGGCCTTCACACACGTTACCTAGGCCCATTTGGCGCACAATCATGCATTGGGTTCATTGAAACAGCTTATCTCCGACCATGCATGTACACGTGGCATGCAAACTGCGCATACTAACGAAGAGAGTTACGGTCTCACTAGCCATTGGTAGAAGAAAAAGAACACACAAAAGGTAGTAGTTTTTCCGCCCTCTATGACCCAGCAAAAGTGCGCAAGAGAGTCGGTTCATTCTTGAAAGGCCCTGACTCAACGTGTTTCATCACATTGAACCGCCATTTTAAGGCCAAGGCACCACCCCGAAAAGGTGGTATTCGCCTGTGTCGGTATGGTTTTTTATGCAAACATTGCCTTTGATCACTAGCTGTCCTTTTGTAAGGTTTTCGGTTGGGTATCCAGGAAATTAATCTGTGTTTACGATTTCAAGATACTGATCCCCATGTTGTCTGGGTGACTTATTTTAGAGGTCCCCATCATCTCCGAAAGGCCCTCTCCTCTAACCGAAGCTCCTCGTTAACTCGTCACAAGCACACACGAAGAGAAAGGATTGACGCCATGTGCAAGGTATCAGTGATGGCAGTAACACATCGCCCTCTTGCCAAATTCGCATTTCTGTGGCGACAGTAGCAGTGAATACTGTAGAGATTGCAAACTTCAATTGTCTCTAGGGTAGCTTAGTTATTGCCAGGTCGAATGCCCTGTGATTGGCTGACTGTCACGTTAATGATTAAGCCAGGGGCATGAGAGCCAATGCGGCCGTTCTATCACGCTCTCTTGGCCAGCCGTCTGACCGTCTGCTCGCCCTTTTCCCCGTGCAGCGGGTGCGCTGGTGCTAGCATTGAAGCATCTTCTGCTGTTGCCATTATAAGTAGTATCTCCCCCCTTCCTCACTCCCTCTAGAAATCGCCTGACCGCCAACTCACTGTGCGGGATTTTGAGCACATGCGTACTACCCCAGTTGCCATTTATAGCTGTCCAGATAGAAATGTCAACTTTTATGCCTCTAGATTTTGTTTTTTAATTGCTTGATCGAACATTCAGACTGCGTCATGTGTGAAGCTGCAAATGGGTTTTATGTCTGGCAGTTGGGCGGAATCCCTTCGGTACAGGGCCTATGGAATCTCCTCCGCAAGCGATGTGCTTCGTTTCTTTGAAGACTGTCTGTCCGCTCCCCTCCTGTTCCTAATTTTGATTTATTTTGAGAGGGAGTGACAAACAGAACCGCTTAATTACAGATGAACCTTAAATAGATTTGTCACTAACGTAAGCAGCATAGACTACCAAATAGGAAGTGGAAACACTAGCTAGAAGTCGTGTTTTTTTAGCTGCACCACCGCATTTTATTTTACGGAAATTTCTTGTCATTTTCACTCCGGTTTTCCTGCATTTCATAGCACCTTTATTTCCTCCTCTATGTGTGACTCCGTATTCATTGATAGCAAAATTGTGGTCAGTGTTCTCCCCCTGTAACCCCGCATCCCACTGGTGATTTTCCCAACACGCACATCCACTGATCAGCCGTCCAGTCCTGTGAGCCTGTTCGGAACTATTTTAATGGATGAATGTAAGGGGAATAAGATGAAGAGAAGGAGGTAATGGAGGGGGATAACAATGATTGTGCGAGAGGGCGCAGAAAGAGGGAGGAAAGAAGGGAAAGAGCGCTTTGGCAGCCGTCCAGCGTGCGTGCGCACCTGGGTAGATGTGTGGAGCACCAAAGTCTTGACAGCCTTAATAATTTCCCTCCTCAGAGCTCAACGAAGGTCGAGAAGACAGCACCAAGGCACCGGCCCCAGCACCAGTCCCAGTTACAGTTCGGGCGACCTCCAGGGGCTTCAGTTTGCTGTGTTGTGGCCTTGGGCAAAAGTCCGAGAAGAACAGTGCGGAGAACGGCTCTTCTGGCGCCAAGGCTGGCCTCGAAGCCGGTGATCATGGTGCGATTTAGCTTTGCTCTCTGTCGCCCCTTACCCCCTCTGTCTGCCTCTAGTCCGTAGTCGCCACCTTTGCTGTGTTTCCTACTTTTTCCCTAACCTCTTGATTTCACAGCCGCCGATAGGTGTGTGCTTGCGTTTGCTTGCTTGCGTTTTAGTCTCTTCAAATACCGATGATGGTATTTGAAGAAGCTAGATCTTTTATGTCTTAACTAATTACCGTCTCCTCCCTCCCTTCCCACTCTGTTGAGCAGCGTCAGATAAGTTTGTCACATAGCCTGGAGTTCGGAGTAGTAACGGGTTTTCCTTACCACTAATGTTGCTCAATGGAGTGAGCTGCAACAGTTTCATTTCTTCAGAAGTTTGTATCTGGGCTCATTTCATCACTAAAGTGAATCCATTCAGGGGCAGATGTAGGATCTTCTCTTCCATGTTGACCTGTCGGTGTTGTGTTTAACCTTCTGCATGAAGCAGTTAATAACCTCGCGTTGTATAGCATGCCTTTATTTCCCCCTCTCTCACACACACGCCCATCTCTCGCATGAATCTAATCATCAGGCTGCATTACTTGTTGTTGGTGCTGGGAAAGAAACCTCCGCTATCTCATCTACATAACCTCCACTTACTGCCTTTGCATCAAAGGAATGTGCCTGCATTCTATCTTCTGTATGTGAAAAGAGGTGTGGAAAATAACCCCTAACGGGTGAACACACGGCGATGGATAGATCATTGTGGATCATAACCCTTGTTACCTTAACACCGCCTCCAACGGTTTGTGTGCGCGTGTTGCAATTGTAGCGATTACTAAACCGCATCTGAAATGATTTCTCTGTTTTTTCTCCCTTACAGACTTTACTTTTGACGGTTTTAGTATTGAGGCTTGCCGTTCTCTTATCTCCATGTTGGATGTAAGTTGCCACTGCTCGCTTTCCATAGAAAATGAACATTTAATACTTGGGGTTAGGGGTGTCGGTACCTCTACAATGTGTTTATGCATCCATTGCCTCTGGTTTTATTCTCCTCCACAGTTGGGCGTTCAATGACAAAAGGGCTTTTGTTTTTACCATAGGTCGATCGTTCAGGCAGCTTGGACTTTGAAGAATTCAAAATCCTCTGGGAAATTTTGCGCTTCTGGAAGGTTAGTCTTGACCATTTATTCCTTTCCCCACCTCCTTGTTACACTTGTGTTTAAGCTGTTTTTTTTTGTATCTCAGGCTGTCTTCAAGAAGTTCGATGCTGATAACAGTGGAACTATGAGCACCTTTGAACTTCGAAATGCGCTCAACTGTGCAGGTAGGTGATTTCACTGGTCTCTAAACGAATAAAGCGGCAACGCTCATGGAATGGCTGAGCTAATGAGTCCTCTTTTGTAGGTTATCACATTGATAATGCAACCCTTACAAGTGTTGTGCTGAGATTCTCGAATCGGGACCGAATTCTACGATTCAACGACTACGTCATCTGCTGCGCGCGCCTGAGAACAGCATTCGAGACCATGCGGACCGGCGACTCCTTTGGAGGTGCCCAGGTAACTTTCTGATCGACTTGATTGGCTTTGTCTGAATTCGGATTCCGTAACTGTCACTTTTTCTACCTTTTCAGCTTCTCAACATCCTGCTCTACCTGTGAGGTTTTCCTTACGTGGGAGACAAAAGGAAGAAAAGAAGCGATTTTTGTCCACGCAATTTCTCGAGATCCAAGTTCCCCTGCTAGAAATCACGGAAACCACACATTTCCTTCTGTCGAATTGACCTTCCCCTTCTCTCTAATTTCTCCATCTAGCCGATATTCACTCCATTGAAACCTAAAATATTATGCTTACTCAACAATGTTTAGTTTTCTTTTTTGCCAAAAAATGCATACATCGAGGATTTGCAACAAAACCACGTCCAATTTTATAATCACATTTTCCCCAAGTCTGCTTCTACATCTTCATGGGTTGTTTCATCCCTCTCTCTCTCTCTTTTTCTTTTCCTTACAGTCCCGCTCCCCCAATTTCTACTGGTGTTATTGTGTTTACCTTCGCTAAAACCGAGAATCACTGCTGATGCATGCTGGCTTGCTCTCCTGTCTGCTTTGCGAATAGATTAAACCACAACACAACGTTTTGAAATTAGCTGGGTACAGCGATGAGCCGGGGCTATGAGTCAATGGTTAGGATTGGCGTATTCTCCATCTTAGGATACGGTCCCAGTGAAATCGGGCTGTGTGTACCCTGGCAGCGATTGGCGACTGATTCATGGGAGTTCAGCTGCTCCTATTGTGTCGTTTTTCTGCTACACAAACGTTTGCTTAGTCTTTATAAATATGACTCCACAAGGAGTGTGCCCAACTTGTATTCTGGTTGTGCTTTTAGAACGGAAAGCCTCATATGAGTGGGATATTATCGTGTGCGCCATTGAGAGGAGAGCGATCTGGCGTTAGGCGACTGCTATCCAAAATCGCTGTTGCCAGTGTGAGTTTGTAGATTAACCTTACCGAAAGGGATACCTAGCACCTACCCCATTAACAAAGGAGGTTATCGGTGTTTCGATGTAGGCTTCAAGTGGTTGTTATAGCTAATATGCACATTAATTAGACCCATTCTCTGAGTCGTAATGTGTGCTAGATTGGAGTTGTCATAGGTTTACTCACAATGTGAATCTCTGTCCTGAAATTTACACTTTGATAACATTAGAAAAGGATAGTCAAGGAATCCCTAGGTACCATCTAAGAGCACTTGCTAATCAATGGAAGAACAGTAGGTGGAGTACTGGGCCGTGCGAAGTGCTGTACTGACAGGCTCAGCGCACAGAGACCCGAAATGTATGACTTTTCTGTTGGCAAGAGATTCTACAATATCACATGCTCAGGTTTGGGGTCTTAACTGCAATCACTTTGAGTGACAATCTACTTTTGGGTGATAAATGACCAGCGCTTTATTTGTTTACCCCTCAAAACCCACAAAAATAAAGTGTGGTGGTGACCTTGAAGCAGGCACTGTATAGGCGGCAGTGGATAACCTCATGGAGCCGTAAAACTATTACGCAGAGATTGAAATAACCAGGTACCTCTTCGGTTAGGAGGGAAGGTAACACCCCATTGCGAGAGTATAGTTTTCTCCGGATAACTAATCGGAGATACTGTAAAAGAGTACTTTTCTTGTTGTCATTTGATAACATTTTGACAGCATAGTAAGCCGAGTGCGAGCCACTGTGATCGATGCAGTGCTTCCTTTTCTTTTTTATAACAGCAAACTGATAGCTCTCAATTCCGACATTGCAAACAACTCAGGTGTTGACATAGCAAATTTGTTTGATTAAACACAGAGTACAAATTTAATAATTAACACGTACGCTACCATGATTTCAGAGGAAAATTGGCCACATCAACTCACAAAAAAGTTCTATTCAAAGCTCTACATTCATTCCCGATTCGTTCAATGCCGATCCATTTCCGATTCACCCAATCATTCAAATGTTCCTCATGTATTTTGCTGCTTTAAACTAAACAAATTTGTTTGCATCACGGTTCGGTGCAGCCAGATGGCGTAGGCTTTTAGGGAACGCGTCCCGCACACGTGATACTGGTGGTAAACACGTTAGGCCACTTCATGTAGATGCCAGAACGCGCATCCGCGGTCCACCTCTAGCACGATTGCTATGGGTGAGTATTTGAAAAACACTGGAAAATAATTAATTTTCCCATTTGCTTGGAGAGCAGTGCTAAAGAAAATATGCTGAGGGATGGTACAGAGTAAATGTGCACCACCTGGCTGCCCTCCACCGATTACGTGACCTGCGATGTTTGTGTACGCTAATGCAGCGATCAACTGACTTCCAGTGGAGAAAACTTCGCATGAAAGGTGATTTGTGTGTTAATTGTGTTAACTCACTCCGAGCGACTTTACAAACTATGGGAAAATGCACAGGGTCCCATTAAATAAGGTTTGTGCCAAGAGCAGTGAATGTTTCTCGACTTCCAGATCGTCCAAAGGACAATAGACCAGCAACTCTAGTCGCAGTAACATGAATGCTGATTGTAAAGATGCTGGTCTGAAATGGAGTCTCTCACAATTTTTGTATGAGGGTAAAGTTGACAAGGGTACCTCACGAGTAAAATCCCAGTCAATAAAAGGATCCATGTCGGTCGTACTCCGAAAGCCTAAATCAAACACCAGTAGAAGTGATCACCCTCGAAACAAATTAACGTTACAATACAGGGGCAATGTGAGGAAACTTTCAGATAAATATTAAAGAACAAACTATTCGCTGGCCAATATACCTGTTGGAATGGGTAAAAATGCCAACAGAGGACGAAAAATCCCATACACCTGCATGAGTTCAATGTCAGATAGAGCTGCCAGCGCCTGATTTCCGTACACTTGAAAAGTGTTTCTTCGCCAAATAGAGCCTCAAGACAAAACAACTTAAAACCCACTGTAATTATGGTCAAGTAAACAAATCTGCGCCACCTTTCAAAGGAGACCCGCTAATTTCAACGAGGGCATGGGTAAAGAGTTGTCAGTACAAGATTGTAGTTGCATACACTGTTTCATGCGGAGGCAGTTTCAGACGATAGCATCGGCACCATTGGTCGAGGGACCCATTACAGTCACATTCTTGCTCACAAGCCACCTCCAAGACCTAAAACCGATTTGCTACCCCAGCGATGGTGTGCTGAAATAATTGACTAACCTTTTATGAAGGAACCTTTCATTAACCAACCTGTCAATTGTGTTGTTTACGATGTTACGAAAAAATAACAATCGGGATCATAAAAGATTGTGGTTCGAAAACAAGGTCCTCACAACATTTTTCATATAGAGCGACATCAAACGGAGGCAACATTACCCAGTTTTCGTACAAACGCCGAAGTCGTCAACATTCAAGGTTGTATAAAGCAAACAATAGATTAAAAAGAGACCCGTGACAAGCACATCACCGAGATATAAAACGGAAGCTCGAGGCACCGCACTGGAGGCGCAACACCAGCATCAGCTCTCGAGGAGGTAGTGATGGAATTGCCGAATATGGCATAAGTCCGAAACCTCTCACCAATCCAAATATGATTTGCACAATTCAAACCTCCGTAAAAATGTCAATGCTGTCGGAATAAGATACTGGTTTAGGAGAGAAGGCCCTAATGCACGTTCGGAATGGGGGTGACACTAAGTTGAACCACCAGCACCCGCTTTTCACACATTTGTAAGCAGTTTCATTTACATATAAAAGTCTCTAGACCAAAAACAGTACAAGAGACTAAAGAGTGCTAATCCACCTGTTTTTGTAGTTAAAAATTCAGTGACTCCTAGTAAGCAAGGCACTTAAAATAATAACAGATGAGCAATTCAGAGTTATATCTCAAGAATAAGACTTTCAGAGGGTGGCGAAGGCTTAGAGTCGGTCGAGTGGGACGGTGGAGTATCAGCAGGAGGCTGCGGAAAGACTGGCTGCCCCGTGGAGTAGAGGGCGATAGGTGGGAAGGTGGTGGGGAGAAGATAGTGTGTTGGCGCCGCAAGCAAAGCCTCCTCCGAAGACGTGGACGATTTGTCACGGTGCTTGGAGGGCTGAAAGAGTTGAGTAAATGGAAAAACGTCTACGCAACAGATCCACATTGCTTCAAGTCGCCTAGTCAACTACACCAGGCCTTTCGGTCTCTGGGGTCTAGGTCACCATCCTGATGGCATTACAGTCTTGTTAGTTCATTTTCCCCTAGTAGACCACCAACCCCTTATAGCGCTGTGCTGTCCAAAATCCCAAATTTTACAACATCTTCAGGAAGGACAAGGGAGCTGCATCTAAATAAATCATAGGGATGATACATCACTCAAATAAACTGGTGCCTCGAAAATCCACAACAGCCAACAGTAACGGAGGTCAAGTAAACACTGTGACTAAAAAAGTGTCAGCCACTAGTCGTTTTAATTAGTGAAATACTTCACTTTAATTCGTTTTCCTAAATTGATGCATCGATGATCGCGATGATTCGAAACACCGAATCGAAGGTTCCTCGCCCAAAAGAAAAATTTTGGCGCAAACAAGAAGTTCGATAGGCACACTTTTGTTGAATGTTGATGAACATTGTACTAATTCGAGAAACGTAAGGCCTTGGAAACATCATGATTACTTATTTAACACTTCCTTTCAGCTACGCAGACACTGAAGGCTCTGCCTTTGTGCGTCCCCTGAGAGGCATGACATCCAGGCCATGGTAGTGATCCCTCCAGCCCTTCTGTCCATCAGCGATACATATTCTGTTCGAATATGATGTCTTCTTTCATCTTCAGAGAACACTCGGGGCGCTACACATGCCTTCCTGAATTATAAGACAAAAAATATCCGTCCCCTCAAACCATTTCTCATATGTTTTGGCTATGAAATAGGGAAAAAATATTTACAATATGGAGCAAATACAGGGCTAACAGACACCCAGAATTGCCATTTAGCAATAGATGGGCAAACGAACTGGCAAAGGAATACTCCGTGCAAATCACGACGTCAGAGGACAAAAATGTGCCGTTTTCGATGCAGCTCACCGCCATGACTGGTTGCTATTTGTAAGGACTTTGAAATAAGCGCGTATGTGCACATTATAAAACATCCTATTGGCACGGCACTCTCTACTACCTTCCTCTCATTTTAAACCCACCCTAATTTCACCAAATGGCGATTGAACCCGATCTGATTCAAGGTTATCTGCTTTACGAACCAAGTTAGACTCGCTTTCAAAGCCGCAGAAACTAGTTTCCCATCAAATAGGCCGCAGAGCTTTTCGAGGTGCCATGGCGGAAACACCATTTGGAATTGGTTTCGAAAACCTGATTTTTATGCAAAATCACTACAAGATGTATTAGGCTTAGGAAGACCACATACTCTTGGAAATTAAGACTCATTCATCTTGTCAAGCACGACTCTCGATAAACTTCAATTTGGGTAAGGACACAATTCGGCGGCACCTACATCAACTCGAGAAGTTGTAAAAGCGAAGCAAATCACTCCTGCTACAACAATAAACGTCAGAAACCGTCCATTTGTTTATCTTCAATTCCCTCCTTTATGCACCGTTTTTATATCGTTTTTTGACTGACTAACATGTGGTGGAAAATAGCTTCTATGTTTCAGCTCAACGCTCAATAAGCAAACAAACAAGCACATCAGTCTTTATCATCAAGTTACCCACCCATCCCACACTCCTAAAGCAGACACCGCTGCACCCACAGAAGACTGTGCATGCTGCGTGTGTTGTAGGCATCAGACGCGATTGCTCCCTAGGAATTCGTCAATTCTTGAAGACCAAACAAGTACACTCGCGGTCGGTCTACTCGATCCGACATGGTGGGATACAACTTGAAAGTCAGAAATATCCAGGACTAGTAAATCAATGAGCAAGGAGCCCTATTCTTTGCTTCCAAGATAACACAAGAGCTCGTACTCCATGCTGCCACAAAAAAGTTCCCCGTGAGACTACTTGCACCCCATTTAGAACGGGATTGCTATACTGCTTTATCCCTTCCCCCCATGCCAGCTCCGTGTTTCTTCAACTGTTGACATTAATCTTTCCTTGGTATTAGCATTTGACAATCTCGTAATGATGTGCGAAGTAGAATTGACGGTTGGAAGTAAAAGTTAGAGAGGGCAACCGAAGTGCCTAGGGCTAGGTTTATTCCTGGCTTCTGGAGACGGTAAATGCTGCAAAAGTTCGTGTCTCATTAGGAAATTATTATGAGTTGTGTATTGATGAGCCTTACAATGAATAGAGTATTTTAAGAAGCTTTCTGCAATTACTTGAATGTGCTGCACAAACGCAGGAACGCATTTGGAAGAACATTCTTTAAGAATCCACGATTTGGCTTGATAGGGATTCAATAAACAAATTTCTTAGTTGGGAGCGATAAAATTGGTGGTATTATGGTGGTTGTGTGGATAAAGCAGGGTGAGTTGGCTCCTATCTAGTAAGCTTTGAAGAGTCCACAATGCCCAAATGAATAACAACACGGTAAGGGACATTCGCAGTTCAAACTAACAACCCAGTTAATAAATGAGCTACTTGGCATGACCTGTATGAAAGGGTGGCCATAGTCTGGGAGAGCTGAAAGCAAATTTGTCCCTTGAATTCTGGAAATTTAAGAAAGTTAAAAACGACGAATAAAGAGCAGCAAACCACTCATCAACATATGGAAACGAGATAATTGAAGGTATATGAAGGCGCACTAACACCACGGCCTATGAAGGTAACAGGGAGACTAGTAACCGACAGCCATTTGGAGCATTCAGCACAGCAGCTATAGAAAGCACGCAAGGAAGAAGGGAGGTATTAATACTACATCTGTAATCGGACATACCCAAATCACATGGACAGCCAAATTAATTGGCCATTTGACACGCTAGCCACCCAAGTCTCAGAGGGGAATCGCCACCGCGCAGCCCAAATGTTTTGCTGTTTGAAGATGATACCAACGCCTGCACTACGGAACTGACTGTTTTAACTACTCCCCAAAAACCGAAAATCAACTACCGTCAGATCCCGAAATCCTACATCTATACGGTTCTTTTACACTCGACCAGCCTGCGACGGTAAAAATACTAAACTAATGAAGAATGCAGGTTAAACGCACATGGCGCTGCCATCGAATGTGCCAGCAAGGTGAAATAGCAACCCATAAAACAATGAGTTTTAGCGTATTTTACACAGCAAAGGAAATTCGTAAAGGTTACCGCCTTCAATGTACGTGGATTGTAAAAAAGGAGAACAAGATCGGCATTACTTATGGATAAAACGCAGGTATTTTAAACAATGCTATATTTTCTCTTCGACTACGATCTATATCATGAAATGTTCTACACAATGCGTGCGTTTAGTCACGCAAGCTTCTCCGATTCCTCGTTGGAAAACAGTACCCGTCTTTTTTCATTGCAAAATGCCCTTGTATTCACGCAAATAAAATAGCCCTATCAAACGCTTTTGTTGATATTTGCAATTTTCTGGAAGGCCTCATCGAGGATGGTCTCAGAAGTTAACAAATAAGTTGGTCGACCCTCCCTCCCATACCACGTCCACGTATGCACACGCACACAAGCTTTTAAACACCACAGCAGTTCCTCATCTATGCAAATTACTTATTTACACGAATCATTACTTGGTGCGCCGTCTCCGTTGCAGCCAAATCAGGCAAAGCGAGTTGTTTAATAGCTAATGATGGAAATGAAAAGGGAATGTGCATCGACTGCCCCACAAATTCACATTTTTACAAGGCTTACCAATGAGAAATGACGATCCGAATTGATGGGAAGAAACCGACTAGGATCAGCGTGAAGAAGTTCTGTGGCGACCTTGCAGTCATTTTTATACGAATCCTGTGTCGGAAACAAAACACCTTACTAACTGTACTTCAGTAAGCGAAAGACATTACAAGTGTACCATCGACGACACAGTACCTCAAATAAAAAATGAGACTTGTTCGCATAATTCGTAATAACGAAAAATGTCTTACACAGGCTGTAGTAAGGCGCTTTATTGTCTCTTCCGATTCCGCAAGTTTCTCTCCTAAGATACTTAGCTGACTGTTTAACTTTGCCCTTTCTTTTTGCAAGGTCTCCACCTGGAAAGAGGAAATAAATACATAACAATTCCTTTCAGAGGAATATATCAAAGAGGTAAATGAGATGTCATGTTACTTTGACAAAGTGCTGTGAGTTGGATAGACCGCCAAGCTGCAGCTACGTGGCATATGATTAGCCAATGTAGGTACAGCATCACATATATGACATTACATTATAGTACATTGCAACTCATAGGAATAATATCAAGATCAAAAGAAGATAAGAAATGTGCTTTTCCTTTGAGGAGCATGAAGGAAGCGGGACAAACCCATAATCTAACAACGACGTCTGCAAAGTGAACACAGTGAAGAACTTAACGCAGCAGTCATTACAAAAAAGGAAAAGTAACACTCCAAAGGTAGGACGGGTTATAAAACTTTGAAGTTAAAACAGCTAGCGCGATAACTAATTCTAAATTAGAAAGTGGCATACCGCTACCAGCAATCTTTCCTCCAGTTCAGAGTTTAGTTTCAGCAATTGATTATGAGATTCAAGGAGTCTGCATACAAATAAAAATCACAATTACCCTTCACTTAATACGATCAAGTGTATAATGTTGGACAGTTTCAAGTACAGAACAAAGACAGCCCCATTTGCTCCTGTTCCATTCTATGATTCATTGTGAAGAGAATAATGAAGTCACTGGTGTTTGTATCATACTGCCCAAATCTGATTTTGCACACATTTACCTACAAATTCATACCTAGTGTAATACTAATTTCGCTCCGAAAATCCTACTATCCAAAACAAAGGAATTGGTGAAAGTGTTATCACATTGGTCTGCCACTTTACCTCTCATATTTGTCCCGAATCATGTCCGTCTCATTTTTCTCTCTAGCCAAATCCTCCTGATGGGTTTTGGCAATAGAAGCGAGTTCAGCTTTTAACCGAGAGTTTTCGGACTTGGTCAGTCGCAACTTGCACTTAAAATTGTCAGCGTTAGAGTCAAAACTAGCAAAAAAAATAAATTTAAATTAAGTTCCTGCTAATAGGCGCAGTGCGCATCTACAATACATTTAAAACTTCGATGTGAAAAACATCCAAGACCAACAAACATGAAGTCCGAGTTCAGTCAAATAAAGCTGAAAATCTAGCTAACTTTCCGAAAAGAGTACTTTAAGTCTTTTAATTTGCATTTTAGGGGGATACGCCACCTAGTTCAAGCAAAACAAAAACAAATTAACCACGCTGATTAAAAGTGGTTAGGCACTTTAATCCAGGCTTACAGTTGCACCACGATAAGTCTGACGTTCTATTAATGCCAAAATAAAAAGTAAACCCAAAAAAACCAAACCAAAAAGGGCAATAACTTCCCAAAGTGCTTCGAAATAAGATACCCAATCCTGTCTTAATTGTAAATGAAAGGAAATTAGACACCACGACCAAAGAGGTCAATAGGGATGAATGTTAGTAGCGCCCTTTAAACTTGAACTTAATGTCTTGCCAACTATAACATTACTACGCTCACCTCAAGCACGTATCATGGCCGGGCATTGCCAAACCCACATTAACCCACCATACACCAAGTCACAATTGGCTAAATTGAAAATCACCCCGTATTACGAGGTCCAATAAAACCTATCGAGGAATTCAAAAATCCCTTTCTGATTTGAATTATTGGGTGCAGGAAACTTAAAGTAACTGTCCAAAGTGTAGAAAAAACCTGTTTTTCCCGTATTATGAAACTTAATAAAGTGACTTAGATGCCTCTCCATAATGAATCAATATAGATTTTAAATAGCCACTTTGAATTTCTTTTCGGATAACCTAATTGAAAACGAGGCTGGTCATTAATAACTGGGTGCTTAATTCTGGGTAATTAAATACTTGAATGAATGCATTTGAATGACTTTTTGGGAGTTATTTGATGTGAAACTAATAATTCTCGCATTCACATTGTTTTGCGTGACTAATCCTCTGCGTGCAGAGAGGGCTGTTCTCTTCGCTGTAATGCTCGTTTTCCAAATGCATTTACGGGAACAGTACTCCATGTGTTATCAAACATGATATTTCTTAATGCAAGTGAGCCACGTAAGAGCTCGGAATTACCCCTATTTAAGTGCTTTTAATATGCCACTCCTCCCTCCTTACTTGGTGAAGCGAAAAGGCCCAGCATTCGTGCTACAAGGTAATCACTAACTGTAATCAACCTCTCGGAGAGAATCTAGCCACCCGAGGTTGCGCTTTTGTGATTTCGCACATAATGGACTTCGTTCGCTTGGCTACATCAATATGTAGCATTCTATATCTTCTTTAAAATCATAATTTGCTATAAGAGTACGGTGGAAAGTTCGTTAACGGTGTGGTGAAGGGCTAGTAGGCCAGGAAGCCGTGCCTTCAAGCAGATATACCAGCTACAGCAACGGACTAGCCCGCGCGGTTGGAGATGCAGTTCAACGAAATATCAAATCACTGCGCACAGATGAGCTGATTACATCCACCATGCGACGGTACGAATAACTACTTGGTTGTCGGTTAAAAATTTGTGGTGTGGGATGCGCTATCCTGGAATAGCCGTCCAACATTGTTATTCTCAGATGAATGAAGTATAACTAATGACAAGAATGCACTTTTCCTCATTTAGAAAATGTCCCATCGGGTGCAACCCTTGATTAAATCGCATCCCCTCAACAAATTAGCCCATTCCATGCATTCAACGATGGTCTCAGCTCTCTCTATTTCGGCTTCCGCTAACCAACTCGCCGACCACAAAGATCTCAAAT